TTTGTCTAATCCCCTTCTGAAGCTTTGTATCGCTACATCCCCTGGCAGCAAATTCCACATTTTAATCACTCGCTGTGTAAAGAAGTATTTCCTTTTGTCCATCCCGAATCAACTGCCTATCCATTTCATTGGATGTCCAGGTGAGGAAGTGAACAAGAAGCTACCTTAGGATCTGTTCTTGCCTTTGGAGCTGCCGGGACAATGCGAGGGAAGGCAGGGGCTTTGCTTTCCATCATTCCTCTAGTCAGTTTGAACTTTGCAGATTGATCTGATCAGTAAAAGGACTTCTAATAGCATAATCAACATTCTGGCGCTTTATTACAGCTTTAAGACCTGGTTACCTGGTAGCTCATCCTCTGCTCTTCCACTTTTAACCTTTTAAACTAGCCCGAGCTGACCCAGAGGTTCAACCCAAAAGGGACCTTGGCCTTTGGCTCTTACCCTTTCTCACAATACAAGAACTCGTGGGCACTCCATGAAATTGCTGAGCGGTCGGGTTAGAAGGGATAAAAGGAAGTACTTCTTCACCCAAAGAGTGATTAACACTTGGAATTCACTGCCACAGGAAGTGGTGGCGGCTACAAGCATGGACGGCTTCAAAAGGGAATTAGATAAGCATATGGAGCAGAGGTCCATCAGTGGCTATTAGCCACAAGGTATAGCTAGGGGCTCTGGGGCAAGTGATGCTCTGTCATCTTGGTGCTTGGGGGGGGGGTCAACAGTGGGAGGGCTTCTAATGTCCTGGCCCCACTGGTGGACCTCCTGATGGCACTAGTATTTCTGGCCACTGTGTGATACAGAGTGTTGGACTGGATGGGCCTTTGGCCTGATCCAACATTGGCGTCTCTTATGTTCTTACCCCAAGGGGGTCACCCACTTGGAGCTGGGAGAAGGGTCTGCAAGAGGGTGGGCGGGGGAGGGGAGAGACTAGCCCTGCACTTGAAAGCCTTTTCCCTTTCTTCTCTCTGTTTACATTTTTAAAAAGTCTAAGCCGCTGTGGGTCCCCGCTGTGGTGAAAAGCATCACATAAATGCTTGAATAAATAAAGCGTGACAACTCTTAACAAAAAACAAAAAGAAGAGAAGGGGAAACTTCCCTTTCCCAGGGGCAGTGAAGAAAACTGTACATATCAGTAAGCTAAGCTAAACTTCTGTTTTTCGGTCTATTGAGATGTCACAAAAGGTTATTTCCAGGCTGCTGCCGCCTGCAGTGGCGTTCCCAGGCAGAGATTAGACTTTGTTTGTTTAAAGAAGAAGCTACCAATAACCACATTATGCAAATAGTACAGACAGCCAAGGGTAACAACCATTCTGCATTGCTTTTTTTGTAGGAAATCACTAAAGCAATCTTGAATCCTTCCATATTATTATTATTATTAGTATTATTTCTGTACCGCCCATAGCTGAAGCTCCCTGGGCGGTTTACAACAATACAAAACAGTAAAATACAACAAGTAGGAATTAATATAAAACATTAAAAGACAGTAGAAACAGTAAAAACAGCAAGAACAGTTAACGGCACCACCTCGCTAATCGTGTCGGGCCCCTGAACATCCAGAAACATCTTTGAAGGCCTCTGTGAAGAGGGCCGTCTTGTCCTGGCGCCTGAAGGATGGCAAGTCTGGCACCAGGCGGGCCCCAGATGGGAGGTTGTTCCAAAGGCGGGGGCCACCACCAAAAAGGCCCTCCTCCTGTTGCCATCCTCTGAGCCTCTCGCGGAGTCAGCACCCAGAGGGAAGGCCCTGGAGGCTGAGTGCAGGGTCTGGGTGGATTGAGGCTCGGAGAGGCACTCCGACAGGTATTGTCCCAAGCCGTGTAGCACTTTATAGGTTAAAACCAGCTCCTTGAATTGGGACCAGAAGCATACAGGCAGCCAATGCAGGTGGGCCAGAATTGGTCTTATATGTTTGGACCTTCGGGTCCCAGCTATTAGGCTGGCTGCTGCATTCCTCACCAGCTGTAACTTCCGAACCATCTTCAAGGGCGGTCCCACGTAGAGTGCATTGCAGAAATCCAATCTGGAGATTACCAGAACATAGATCACTGAAACCAGGCTATCCATGTCCAGACAGGGGCACAACCGGGCCAGCAGCCAAAGCTGATAGAAAGAACTCCGAGTCACCGATGCCACCTGAGCCTCAAGTGACAAAGATGGATCCAGGAGCACCCCCAAGCTGCAAACCTGCTCCTTCAGGGGGAGTGCGACTCCCATCTAGAACAGGTTGGACACCTCCTATCCGATCCAAGGAATTGCCTACCAACAGCATCTCAGTCTTGTCTGGGTTGAGCTTCAGTTTGTTAGCCCTCATCCAGTCCATTATCATGGCCGGGCACCGGTTTAGCACATCCACAGCCTCACCAGCTGAAGATGAAAAGGAGAAATAGAGCTGCATGTCATCGGCGTACTGATGGCAACGCACACCAAAACTCCGTATGACCCCGCTCCGTGGTTTCACGTGGATGTTGGATAGCATGAACAAATAATTCAGTTTAGATGTGTTGTGGGGCCTGGAGTGAGCATGTGAGGAGGAAATGCATTTTGGTCAGTTTTTATTTAGAGGCTGTTATTGGAAGTGTCACACCTGTGCCCATGCAACTGTGGGATAGCAGGATCTGAATGGTGTACTGGGAATGGGAAGGCGTGGCTGGTCTTGTTATTCTTTCTGTCCTTTGAAATTTCCCATGTGTTGGATGAGTAGAAAAGGGTTATCTAAACAGAGCAGGGGGTATATCCTTTTACCCAAGAAGGGAGGAGGGAGGTGGTACCATTCCTGCTCATAATTTTTTGTCCTGGATTCATGTACTTAGGTGCACACACTTAAACATTAGTTAAAAGTCTCTAACGTTCAATTAACTTTTGAGAGCCAGTTTGGTGTAGTGGTTAAGTGTGCAGACTCTAACCTGGGAGAACCGGGTTTGATTCCCCTCTCCTCCATGTGCAGCTGCTGTATGACCTTGGGCAAGCCATAGTTCTGTCAGAGCTGTTCTTGAAAGAGCTCTCTCAGCCCCACCTACCTCACAGGTTGCCTGTTGTGGGGAGGTGAAGGGAAAGGAGTTCATAAGCCGCTCTGAGACTCCCAAGTGAAGGGTATAAATCCAATCTCCTCCTCCTCCGGGCTCAGAAAGAGCTCAGATGACTCACTTGAGTGGACGGTTGCTGGTAGGCCCAGATTTACTGGATAAAGGAGAGCTTTCTCAGGATTCTTTTTCTCAGAAAAGCTATCTGGGTTTCATCCTTGATTGGCTCAAGCAATGGGGCTATCGTCGCCAGGACTGCCTCTTTGCCTGTCTCAAATTCCTGCCCGTGGCAGATGCTATATAGGAGATATAATTGCCATCTTAGCAAAACATGCTGAGTGCAGACTTACTGGGGGAAATGTGCTGTGATAACACAAGGACTTGATACTGAGAAGCACACTGGCTGCAAGCGTAACACACTAGTGTTGAAAACGGTGCTTGGAAGTCTTGCTATAAGTAAAGCATGTGCAGGCAGCCTAGAAAATTAAATGGCTGAAGTCCAGTTCCCTACCCCAACTCTGTGCTTTCCATGTAACGTCTTCCATCCAGTTGGAAGGGACTAGAAAATGCCCACTGTGCCTTTGATAACTGTGTCCAGTTTCAACTAACCACTTGGGTTGATGTGTTAGTCTGTCTGTAGCAGTAGAAAAAAGCAAGAGTCCAGGAGCACCAGGAGCCAGTTTGGTGTAGTGGTTAAGTGTGCGGACTCTAATCTGGAAGAACCGGGTTTGATTCCCCACTCCTAGCTGCTGGATGACCTTGAGCAAGCCATAGTTCTGTCAGAGCTTTTCACTCAAGAGCAGTTCTGTCAGATCTCTCTCAGCCCCACCTACCTCACAGGGTGTCGCGGGGAGGGGAAAGGTACAAGGATTGTAAGCTGCTCTGAGACTCCTTTGGGTAGAGAAGGGTGGGGTATAAATCCAATCTCCTTCTCCAGTTTGGTGTAGTGGTTAAGTGTGCCGACTCTAATCTGGGAGAACCGGGTTTGATTCCCCACTCCTAGCTGCTGGATGACCTTGAGCAAGCCATAGTTCTGTCAGAGCTTTTCACTCAAGAGCAGTTCTGTCAGATCTCTCTCAGCCCCACCTACCTCACAGGGTGTCTGTTGGGGGGAGGAGAAGGGAAAGGAGTTTGTAAGCCGCGGAGTATAAATCCAATTTTCTCCTCCAACAACAACATTTGTGGCAGGGTCGGAGCTTTCATGAGTCACTGGTCCCATATATGGAGAAGTGAGCGGTGACTCACAAAAGCTCAAACCCTGGCACATATTTTGTTAGTCTTTAAGGGTATTACTGGACTCTTGCTTTTTTCCACTTGGAAATGAGAAATCCTGAATCAGTATAGTGCAGGTATCATGAAGGGACTCAGGAACCTGCCATTCAGGGTCTGTGCTCTGAATCTCAGCTGCGTTGCCTGGGGCAAGCCCCCATTCCTCAGGCGAAGGCGATTTGGGGGCTAAAATAATTGAATTCCACAAAGGAGAAGCAGGATAGAAATAGACTGAGAAGAAACCCTCCCTTCCCCCCCCCCCTTAACCACAGTGGGTTAAATAGGGCTTGTAAACAGTGACAAGGAAGCATGCAAAAGGCATGGAAGCGTCTCTAAAACCTGTTCCGTTTTTGTTTGTTTTTTTCTACTTTGAGACTTCCAAGTGATTAGAATTGTGGGCAGACAGGCTGGCAAAGATATTTCTGCAAGCTGGCTTTTGAGAATTTATTTGCAAGGCTGACTCAGCGCAACACTGTCAGAAACAGCGTTCTATTTTGGGGGGGTGATGGTTGGGTTCGGTCAGGTGTCCTTCGACCCCCCGTTTCCACTAAACAAGAACAAAAGTGATTTGATGAGAGGATTTCTGCTAAGATCAATGGGGAGCACAGGGGATTAAAACACCAGTTATTCAGCGGCTAAGGCTTGTGCTTCCGTTCACGATTCTTTACTGACGTGGTTCTTCTTTCTGTCCTTGTTGTGTTTTCTCCAAAACAGGCTGCAAGATCAAGGCCTTGAGAGCCAAGACGAATACTTACATCAAGACCCCTGTCCGTGGAGAAGAGCCCATTTTTGTCGTCACTGGACGCAAAGAAGATGTAGCCATGGCCAAAAGGGAAATTCTTTCTGCTGCTGAACACTTCTCCATGATAAGAGCGTCACGTAACAAAAACGGCCCGGCTCTGGGAGGACTGTCCTGCAACCCCAACCTGCCGGGGCAAACCACAGTCCAAGTCAGGGTGCCTTACCGGGTGGTCGGGCTCGTGGTTGGCCCCAAAGGCGCTACGATCAAAAGGATCCAGCAGCAGACTCATACCTACATAGTTACTCCCAGTAGAGACAAGGAGCCAGTCTTCGAGGTCACCGGCATGCCTGAAAATGTCGACCGTGCCCGTGAAGAGATAGAAATGCACATCGCCATGCGCACTGGAAACTACATTGAACTGAACGAAGAAAACGACTTCCATTACAATGGTACGGACGTGAGCTTTGAAGGGGGGAGCCTGGGACCGGCTTGGCTCGCTTCCAATCCAGTACCTCCTCCGAGCCGCACCAGGATGATTTCGAATTACAGAAACGACAGCTCCAGTTCTTTGGGAAGCGGCTCCACCGATTCCTACTTTGGAAGCAATAGGTTGGCTGACTTCAGCCCGACAAGCCCATTTAGCACAGGCAATTTTTGGTTTGGGGAAACGTTGCCTCCCGTGGGGGCAGAAGATCTCGTCATTGACTCTCCTGCGTACGACTCCTTGCCGACACCTTCTCAGACCATCTGGACACCTTTCGAACCTGTCAACCCACTCTCCAGTTTCAGCAGTGACCCCGCTAGTAACACGAAAGCTCCGCGGAGAGGGAGTCAGCCATCCACTCCTCGTCTGTCACCGACCTTTCCCGAAACCCTTGAACATCCCCTGGCTAGGAGAGTCAGAAGCGACCCACCCAGTACAGTCAGCCAGGTCGGCCTCCCGATCTACATCCCTGCTTTTTCCAATGGTACCAACAGCTATTCTTCTTCCAACGGCGGTTCCACGTCTAGTTCCCCTCCAGAACTCAGACGGAAGCACGACTGCGTGATATGCTTTGAGAACGAAGTAATCGCTGCCCTGGTTCCGTGTGGCCACAACCTCTTCTGCATGGAATGTGCCAACAAGATCTGTGAAAAAGAAACACCTTCGTGTCCAGTTTGCCAGACAGCTGTTACTCAGGCGATTCAGATTCACTCTTAAATATATAGAAGATATTATATATGGACTTTTTAAACTCTTAATGGCTTGGATGTAATGGTACCCCCTAAGTAAACTTATAATGAATTCAGACTGTTATCGGGATTTCTTGGGGTTAGGCTAACGTTGTTTGTGAGGCATGTACTCTTTTTTGTTGTTGTTGTTTAACAAAAACAAAAAAAACAAGGCTTGTGCAATTAACACAACGCCTAGCCGATGTTTGTCCATTTTGGTTCCAGCTGTGGCGCCTGGTGGCAGACTTAACGCCTGAGAATGAAGCTGTGACACGGCAAGAGTGTGAGGGATGGGGACTCAGATCGGTTTCGTAACAGGATAAAATGTGCCGAATGTTCGCGGGCTTTCCAGATCGTCTTGACTCTGTCTTGGTGGTTTGCGCTCGTGAGGGCGGAAAGCCCTGTAGGTCCCTGAATTGCCAGCGAAGGGGGAGGGTGCAAAGGTTTATCAATGTATCAGACACACTTCCAATGCTGCCTTCTTGACACTGCCAGTTTTTCAAAACAGGTTTGGGGGCATCTCCCTCCTTCCGTTAAGGCATCGGCTTCCCTTATCCAGTGTTGCCAATAATTGTTATGATGCACAAATCCGGTTTCCTGGCATTTGGATGAGTCACGTAGGGGTAACTTTACTTTTTAAATTTATGAGATCATTGTCTGGGGTGGGGGTGGGGGGGACAGAGGAGGCGGATGGTATGAATTGTGACCCCCCTTCTCGTTCAGTATGCAAATTAAAGAGAATCAGGAACGTGTGGGTCTTCCGCCACTGAATTGTGGGAAGTCTGCTTCCTCTCGGCCATCACTACTGATCATGCATGCTTGCTTGCCCAAAGTTCTCCCACCAGCAAGAGCTTTGCTTCCCCAATACATTTGAAGCAAAGCCCCCCCCCCGGTGTCCCACGTACGGTTCTCTGGTCAGGCAGATTGGCTCCCTCTGTCGAAACGATTGGAAATTTCCATGGGCACGGTGGGGCACGCGTGGAATTTTGAATCTGGGCGAGCGTCACTAAGGGCTGTAGCATTGCCATGCTGAGTGCAGTCCACTTGGCTCTTCTTCCCCCCCCCCCCCCCACCCACTGTTCCATTTGCATTAGAGGGAATATTCGTGGGTGGAGGGGAGGGGAACCGCTGTGGGTCGAATGCACCCGTTAGTGCCGAGAGCGAGGATGCTGACATTCCATTGGCTCATTGGATCAAGCGGTTCTTAAATTTAACTCTGTTTGAAAAAAATGTGAATTTCTTTTTCTTTTTCACGTTTCATCTGTTAAATTTGCACATTATCCAAAACGTGGGTTTTTTAAAAGTAACGTTGGGGGGGGACTCTCGAATTTGCACGCTCCCCCCCCCACCGGTCCCATTCATGGAAGCAATTGTGTTTGCGGCCCCCACCAAGCTGTTTATCTCATTTCAAAACAACCCTTCTCTGTCCCAAGGAGCTCCCAGCCCCCGTTTTTCTTTACATTTCAACCTGTGGATGTTTCTCACTTCTTCATCCTCAGAATATACCCAAATCTGTGCTGGCATTTAAACAAAAAACACTCAGAAGTTCTGATGGATTTATTTTTTTATCTGTCTCTCTCTCTCTTTTTTGTTTTTTGAGCAATATTTTCCCAAGTCGAAACAAAATAGTTTTTCCCCCCTCCTCAGTATAAGCAAATTCTATGTGTATCGGACTAGTAAATATACAGAAATCTTTATTTTTTATTTCCACTTGAAAGAGTTACATTTCGTATAAAAAAAAGTTTACAGATAACGGTTTTTATTTTTTTTCAGTAAAAAAGGTTGCCTTGATGGCATATTATTATTGTTATTATTATGAGATGCATAACTTTAACGCTAACTGCTTGTAGGATAGTTTAAATGTCAGTATTGAAACCTTAATCTTTAGCGGCAGTCTTGTAGATACGAGCCATCTTGTTCACCGAGCATGTAATTTTGTATTTTATTGCGTTGTACACTGCAACTACTAAAGCCAAGGAGTCTAACAGACGTTAGGTGCGTGTATCGTTTTCTATAAACCACAGACTCAAGAATGACAGCTCTCGATATAGTTTAGTATTTGCTAATTTTACTACACTCTTTTTTGTTATGTATATGTAGGGAGGTCATAGGGATTATAAATTCAATTTAAGTAAAGTTTAAAAAAAAACCATATATATTTTATGATAAAGGGCCTTTAACTTATGGTGGCCAAAGCACTGATATTATATATTTGCTGTAAAGAGAATTATAAGAGTTTTATTTTTCTGATATTAAAAGTTACTTAATAAAGACTTGTTTCCATTAACTCGAATGTTTTTTCTTGACTCTGCTGTTTTCATGGTCTTCAAGCCACTTGGGGTGATTGACCTGGTATCAACCAGAGATCACGCCTTTTCCATTGCGAACACACACACACACCACATGGAATGGGTTCCCTGAAAAGCTCGTCCACATCGTGGAGTGGGCTCCCCGTCATTGGGGATCTTCAGGAGGCACTGCAAGAGTTGTTGTTTGCCCAGAATTTTAAGAACATAAGAAAAGCCATGTTGGATCAGACTAGTGGCCCATCTAGTCCAATGTCCTGTCTCACGCCATGGCCAACCAGTTCCTCTGGAGGTCCAGCAGTAGGGCACAGAGGCCGAGGCCTTCCACTGATGTTGCCTTCTGGCACCGGGACTCAGAGAATTAGTACCTTTAAATATGGAGGTTCCCTTTAGTAGCAACCGATAGACCTATCACCCATGAATACGTCTCGTCCCTTTTTAAAGCTGTGTGTGCCTGTGGCCATCGATACATCCTCTGGCGGTGAATTCCATATTTTAATTACTCCCTCTGTAAAGAAGCCTTTCCTTTTGCCCATCCCGAACCCTACTGCCCATCAGCTTCATTGGATGCCCTCGAGTTCTAGTACTTTGGGAGGGGGAAGGAAAAGCTCCTTCTGCCCACTCTTTTCACCACACCCATAATGTTATAAACGTCTGTCATGTCCCCCCCTCAGTCGTCTCTTTTCTAAACTGAAAAGGCCCCGGACTCTTCAGCCTTTCCTCCTAGGGGAGGTGCTCCAACCCCCCCTCATCATCTTGGTCGCCCTTCCTCTGTACTTTTTCCAGCTCTGCAGTGTCCTTTTGGAGATACGGTGACGAGAACTGCACACAGTATTCCAAATGAGGCCACGCCTATAGATCTACACAGGGGCCTCGGCTGTTTTATTTTCAGTCCCTTAATAATTCCCTTAATAATTCCCAACATTTTTCGCTGCTGCAGCACACTGGGTTGACACGTTCATTGAGCTATCTACTTATGACCCCAGGATCTCTTTCACTCTCAGTCTCTGCAAGTCCAGACCCCATTAGCCTATACTTGATTTTTTGTTCCAATGTGCATCACCTTAAGACGACTTAACAGCATTGAACTTCATCTGCCACATCATTACCCCCGCACCCAATGAGCAGAGATCCTTGTGGAGCTCTTCACAGTCATCCCTGGTTTTCACCTTCCTGAATTTTGATGGGGTATGACCTGGCTAACCTAGTCTCATCAGCTCTCAGAAGCTAAGCAGGGTCGGCCCGGGTCAGTATTTGGATGGGGGACCCCCAAGGAAGTCCAGGGTTGCTGTGCAGAGTCAGGCAATGGCAAAGCGTCTCTGAATGTCCCTTGCCTTGAAAAACCTACTGCAGGGGTGTCAAACTCTCTGGAAATGTGTTTAAAGTTTTAAAAATCTTTCATTGTGTTTGTGTCCTTTATAAAGTTTATATCTCCACTACCTGGCATTACCTTTTATGACATACATGGCCCGGCCCAGCAAGGTCTCATTTATGTCAGATCCGTCCCTCATAACAAATGAGTTCGACACCCCTGCCGCCTATGGGGTAGCCATAAGTCAGGTGCAACTTGACGGCATTAAAAATAAATGGCAGGTAGTCGGGGCCCTCATCAGATTTTAATCTGTGATGTTTAATAGTTACTTGCAGCTGCCTTGAACCAAAAGGAAAAAGCAGAGTACAAATATCTTAAAGAAATAAATATGCCGCAGTTGTCACATAAGGAACTGGTTGCTCAATCGTGGCCCCACTGGTGGACCTCCTGATGGCACTGGTATTTCTGGCCACTGTGTGATACAGAGTGTTGGACTGGATGGGCCTTTGGCCTGATCCAACATTGGCATCTCTTATGTTCAGTTACACGGAGCATTAGGCACGCTAGAGAGACGGAAGATAGGCGGATTTTCCGGCGCGATCTCACTGCCACATCTGGGAAGCGTAGAGCTCCCGTGGCTCACCTGAGGCTTCACTCCGAAGATGCGCTGTAAAAAACTAGTACCTCCGAGGTACTAGTTTCCGGAAACCGCGGGGCAAGGGCGGGTGTTAGATCACATTTCCGGTGTTAGCTTGTGGCATCCATGTCCCATCGCAAAAGGTTTTTTTTTTGTCAAGTCTCCACAGGTGCACACAAGCACCCAACGGCGCATGTGAACACTTGGGTTAAAAAAAACAACACAACCCCCGCGGCGCCGCTTCTTTGCCGCGCCGCAGGAGTGAGGTATGATCGGCACCTCCCCCCAACCACGGGATGTCGGGCAGGACGTTTGATCTGGCTGCCGCGCGGTAGTTCACTCCGGGGCAAACAGCCGGCCCGTGTGACCGGGGCCCTTAAAACTTAAGGACATAAGAGAAGCCAATGTTGGATCAGGCCAATGGCCCATCCAGTCCAACACTCTGTCACACAGAGGCCAAAAATACCAGGGGCCATCAGGAGGTTCACCAGTGGGGCCAGGACACTAGAAGCCCTCCCACTGTTGCCCCCCCCAGCACCAAGAAGACAGAGTATCCCTTGCCCCAGCCTGAGAGTTCCTACCTATACCTTGTGGCTAACTTCATGCAGCTGGAATCTTACAGCCTCTGCAGGAGTTTCCCATCTTAAAAAGACAGTGGGGAGAAGCAACAGAGGAGGGAGAGAGAGAGGAGTAAAAAGAGGTGAACAGGGAGAAACTGATGCCTCAGAGCTTTGGTTGCAGTCGGGAAGGGGCGTGAAGGGGTCAAGCCAAAGGCCTTGTTGGAAAGCAAGGATGGCTTGAGGGGGATTTGGAAAGGGTGGGCATTCCACACCCAGCAGGCAGCGAAGGAGGCAGGGCAGAGCTGTGTTCAAAGCAAGAGTCCTGGAGGTGTCTGAGGAGCAAAAGCTCCCCTGGGAAAAGTAGGTCTAAGACGTTCCGGTGGGGGGGGGGAGCAGGCATGGCCGACTTTGGACAAGGAGTTTCTGCTGGCAACCGGAGGGGCTGGGAAGCCAGTGAATCTGGAGAGGCCATCCAGTGCTCAAGAGTGTCAGGAGAAGTGAATACTGGAACAGGGTGTGATGACAAGGCCAGAGGAAGGAAGGCCGCCGTAGTCAAGGTGGCTGGGGCGTGAAGCAGCGGCTTAGCTGAGGCTATGCAGAGAAATGGGGTGGATCCTTGCAACGCTGCACAGGGAGCGATGGCATGACCTGGCAGCACATGTGTCAGTCTGGTGTAGTGGCTAAGTACGCGGACTCTAATCTGGGAGAACCGGGTTTGATTCCCCACTCCTCCACTTGCACCTGCTGGATGACCTTGGGCAAGCCATAACTCTGGCACAGCTGTTCTTGAAAAAGAGCAGTTTCTGTCAAGAACTCTCTCAGCCCCACCTACCTCACAGGGGGTCTGTTGTAGGGAGGGGAAGGGAAAGGAGTTTGTAAGCCACTCTGAGACTCCTTTGGGTAGTGAAGGGCGGGGTATAAATCCAATCTCTTCTTCTCTTCTTCTTTATACCCCACCTTTCTCCCCAATGGGAACCCAAAGCAGCTCCTCTTTTCCATTTAAGAGAGAAAGAAAGAAAGAAAGAAAGAAAGAAAGAAAGAAAGAAAGAAAGAAAGAAAGAAAGAAAGAAAGAGTCTCCTTTGCAGAATGTGGAGTTGAACCTGGGTCTTCCAGATCCTAGTCTGCTGTGCCATGCTGGTTCCCACTAAATGTGGGGAAGAAAAAGGAAGGAACTGGAGAACACCAGCAATTCCTCTCTGCATGGATGATGATGGTCAAAGTCTTATAAAAAGCCTCCACACAGGTTGGTTATAAGGCTGAGGTGTGATTCTTCACAGCCCCAGGATAACACTACCACCAATCCCCTTAACTACCCCATCAGCCAGAGACCCAAGGGGCTAAGCCTCTTGGCCTCCTCCTGCGTCTAAGATCAATCAGTCAGCCGGCAACATAGGACACTTACAAGGTGAATTCCAGAAAAGAGTTATTCTGGTAGCTAGAGCAGGTCTTGTCTAAAGTGCCGGATTCAGACTGAAGCCCCCAATCCCAAGAACACCACCAAGATATAACTAAAGTGGTTTATTAAAAGAAAGTTCCAGAATATACAATATATGAGAAGTAAGGATAAAAATGATAAAGCTAAATATCTAAGCAAAGTGTGTTTACAAGCATTGGTTGTAGATCCAGGTGTTCCCTAGCAAGACTGTCCACCAGAGTTAAGTCCAAAGTGGGCTCCGGCCAGCGTGGCCCAAACAGAATCAAGATTTATTTATTTATTTATTTTATACCCCGCCCTCCCAACGGCTCAGGGCGGCTTACATATGGCAAAGCCAGAGTAAAATACAATAAAACATATAATTAATTACATATTTAAAACACAATAAAACCATCCTATCACACGGTGCTGAACCTA